CAAATGTTTTCCCGAGTGACGCGCAAGGGCGTGAAGCAAAGGTGTTGCGCAAGTGTGCCCTAGAAGATCCTAGAAGGGTTTTACCCAGAATGCCCGTTAGGGCTTTCGGAATTTTCACTGTCTATTGGAGCTACTAGTACTGGCTTCAAGGCATTGGCTAGGAACATTGCATTCTGTGATGCAGCCATTCCAAGCTTTACAACAACACCTTTGTCCTGCTGTGTGGGAGAATCTTGAAGAGGACGGTTGAACGGAACCGGGGGAAAGATCCTGTGCCAAACATTTCGCAATTTCTTGGACACCTGTGACACCAGCAAAAACGATATGGAAACACGGAGCTCTATGGCATCGGTTGGCGAGGGCAGAAAGACTGTTGTTGACTTTTGTGTGCAAAGTTTGCATTGAGGAGAATCAGCTACGCCGCCCGCCTTTTGTGTCAGCTCACAATGCCTTGTCTGGGGTGGGCCATCGCGCAATGTCGCTATGCACGGCAACCCCACCAACACGCGTGTGTATTTATAGAGCGCGCCTGGTACAGGTGCGCTCCTATGCAGGTTGGCAGCATCGGGCGAAAGCCCTTACGGCGTCGGCTCTTCCTGCTGGCCTGAGCTTCGACATCGTCTTCTTTGTGAGCACTGTCGTCATTGACAGCACCTCTGTCAACCTGGACAGCACTTACTTGTTCTGTTAACGCCTTCTCCCAGGCATCTGTTTCGGGACCACTTTTTCAGAAGATTCTGGAGGCACATCGTAAGCGGGCTTAACTTGCGAGTCGTTGTCGAAGAACAAAGATGCCTTGTTCTGCTAACGCCTTTTCCCAGGCATCAGTTTCGGGACCACTTTTTCAGAAGATTCTGGAGGCGTATCATAAGCGGGCTTAACTTGCGAGTCGTTGTCGAAGAACAAAGATGACGAGAGCAGTCTTGTTCTGCTAACGCCTTTTCTCAGGCATCCGTTTCGGGACCATTCTTTCAGGGGCTTAACTTGCGACGATGTGCTTTGTCACAGCGAATAAAAACCTTGCACATACGATTGCTGGCGATAAAAATTGATTTGGACACGGTTTCAGAAGAAAACTGAAACGCCCTGGTTTTACACCAGCGCCGTTCAGAATATTGACGCATGTGCTTACGTTTGCTTTTGGACTGCCCAGCGGTGCTGTGGCTACCCTTGAGGTAGAGTGACCCGGAGGTCCAGAGAAATTTGATTGCCTACATGTTTAGAGGCATCTATTAATAGACGTCGCAGGTCTAGAGTTCTAGAGGTCTATAGAGATCTATAGCCGTAGAGACCCAGTCAGAGGTGTAGAGGTCTTGAGCTTCATGTGACAAGCCATTTCAGTGACCAGTTGTCGAGCTGAATAAAGCTAGACAAAAGAGATCAAAAGAGGATTGACCCATCTCTGTGCGTCTAACGTTTTGATTTTTCTTGAAGCCATGCTGCTGAAAAATATCTGACTCATAATATGGTCGGATCTGCTGCGCCAAAAACACCTCACCGCACCAGGGGACAGGGCAGAACCGGGGCCCAGTTTAGAGTGAAAAACGGCGTCAAAATCGCCAAGCTTACACTGCGTCGATACTGCTCGCCAAAACTCAAGGCGCATCAAGCGGATCGAAAAAGACGCATTGAAAATAACTTCAGATACTGACCGGTAGAGACCGGCTCACTGCAATTTACAGTTCACAAGAACCTTTGTGTTTCGCGACCTTGTCAGGTACCACCTTCGGCATCGCCTTAAAGATAAGAGCCACTGGAACGGAACAGTAACAATGGACTGGTTGCCCGTGTAAATGGTTCATCCGCGCGCCAGCACACAGAAACCCTATCATGTGTGAAAACGGGCGACTGCTGCAGTGCCGGCCGCTTCTCCTCTAGGCCCCACTGCTTGATCGATGCTGAACACCGTGGGCGGCTCGCCTTAGGCGCTAGACATGGCTACACTCCAGGCAAGGACGTGTGCAATGAACATCATGAACCTCCCTGACAACACCTTCCGGAGGCAGTGTCAAGCAGGCAGATACTGCTCCTGCTCCTGTGCTAGGAAAGCCGCACGTCGAGCTGAAACTGAGCACGTGAGCTGAGCAGAGCACGTGACCTTGACCCAGCTCCACAGGCTCCACAGGCTCCAGACTTCTAGACTCGCACCTCCAGGTCGTCCTCTCCTCTTGTGCGGTCTCCCTTGTGAACATGGATGACCGCAGGGATTTGGCAACACTAGCAGGTGTGTGGCGTGTGTGGTTGTGTCTTGTGTCTTGCCGCGAGCCCCATGTGGTGCAACCTACGAATCAGATGATTCCCCCCTGGGCCGACCATCTATATATGGTGACCTTGTCCAAAAGTCACACGGCCACGGACAATCAAATAGAAGTATATATTAGCTTTATGACAAGCATAAGTATCTGTGGGTCACCTCATAAGCCGAGCGACACCGCCACAGCGCCCAGGCGAAGTCGCTGTTGCCGCAGAAGATTGACATGGTGGTGTCCGCGCTGTCAGGCACAGAGTGTCAGGGTCGTATGCAGGAGATATTGGATCGGATCTACTGTAACATATTTTGGATCTTTTTGCTACACATGTTTTGTCTTCCACAATATAGCTGACATGGACAATTACATGTTTGTGCTTTGTGGACCTGTTGTGCCATTTTTCGTTGCTTCGCAGGCCCTTTGATCCAAGATGGTTATACCTTGAGCCCTTAAATTGGGCTCCCGCTCGCACGAGCATTTTTCACCAGTGCCGCTGGAGGCCACTGGAGTCACAGAGCTCTTGCGCATGCCGTGCGGAGAAACCGCGCATGCAGAGTTCTGGTGGGTTTCACCGAGTGTGTTTTCGCCGTTCGAACAGCGTGGACGAGAGGAAGAAAGCGCCCTAGCCAAAAGGCTAGCAGCAAGAGGAAAGCAATGAAGCACTGAGGCTCAACACCATGTGTTTGTGTGTGTGTGTTCATGTCTTTGCCGTAGTCTGGCGACATACCCATATTATAGAAAGCATTGGGACATTCTACGATACACTCACAGCTGTTCATCTCTTCCCTGCCGCAGCATTGAATATGAAAGGATCTCGATTCCAGGATTCAAAGACAGATAGGCTGACCGTTGGCCTTCACGGACGGCCTTCGCCGACCGTGTGAAGTGTTCCTTCTTTCGGGACGACTAGCCTTCCTCCATCCTGCCGTTCACGGACATCCTAGGAATCCCGTTCACGGGAGTGCTCCAGCCTTGCAATGCAAGCAATAGCCGATCTGGACCTGGTGCGCTTGGAAAGAAGATATCATAGGCACATATATATATATATACACACCCACATAGATAGAAAAGTAGATCCCCACTAAACATGTTTTGCAAACAGTCTCTATCTATTTGGGGACCACTATATAGCCTATAGCTCCTACTAGCTAGTACCTAGCCAGTGGTTCAAAAAAGGGGGCCAAAGAGCCAGTGAGCTTCCCTCATGCAGTTCCAAGATATTCCAAGCAAAGATGAAAAGACCCAATGACCCAATGCCAAGAATCGCTTTACCAACGAGGAAGAACGACCTAGACTCGACCCTCCGTTCGTACCTCGGAAAGGTGGGTACAAGTACCTGATGTTTGTACGGTCATGTCTCATTTCTAGGGGTACAGTACGAGGGTCCAGGTACATTACTTTTGACTATTCACCCTCTACAGGTGGATCAGGTGGGCAACATCGAAGCCGCCTGTGTAAATTGTGGTTAATTCAACATGTCAACCGTTTCAACCTCCATTTGATTTGCAACCAGGAGCAAGAAGCTACTAGGTGGAGGCCATCGCTGCTAGGAGCAAGAATTTGGTCCAGTTCGGGTGAGAAATCACCGTGCGTCGCGTCTGTCGCGGCGTGCCACGTGAGCAGTTCTCGAGCGCTCCCTTGGGTTTGGCTCGGGCAAGGTCCGTTCAGGAAATCCGGTCTTCCAGGCAGTTGAAAGGTATAACTCATGCAGCAAGAGGCTCTTAGGGAAATCACACACAGAACAAGAAACAGCAAACAGTGACGGGTTCATTTCAACAATCTCGTTAATTCACTTGTTGGACGGGTTTCAAACAACCCCAACTTGAAAAAGTCCTGGACTCTTCATGGCGCAGCCAAAAGGAAGGACTTGGCTGTCTTTCCGCGGAAGCATAGCAGTGTAGAAGAATAGCCACTCTGTGTCCTCCAAATGTCCAAGGAGCTGCTGAAGCAGATTCGGTCAACTTGCCACCTGTTTGGTGGAAGGTTCCTTTAGTCTTAATCAACTTGCTTATCATGTTCAAAGGCGACCCAAGCCGGAGGTCTTCAACTACAATTCCCACAGGCGCCATTCATTTGCGCATTGGACAAAATATAAGGTCAACATCACAAGTCCGGCGCTAAGAACGGTGCAGCTCAGTCTGACGGCCGAGAGGGCGCAGCCCGACCGTTTTCTGCTGACCTTGCCTGGGTCCTTAAAACATCCAAATCGTTTCATGCCTCTTCATAGCCCGACCGTGCCTGTTGGAGGGCCCCCGGAAACGCCGTCGCCGTCCCGCGAACCGGACGCGCGACGGAGCCCCGCGCGACCCGCGGGGGTGGGGTCTCCAGACGTGCGGGTCTTGATATGACGCCGGCGTGGGCAGGATCCAAAGGTGACGGCGGGGGATCTTGAGCTGTTTGGGTCATGATTCCAAGAATTCCGACCAAAAAGGAGACCTCCCTGGATGGCACAAGAAGTACGCGTCGGACACCCTGTTCTTTTTGTTGCTCGGCAAAGGCTACAGCAGCTACAAAGAGACTTATTTGATAGAGGCATGGGTCAAAACAGACTCTGATTCCAATCGTTAATATTGTATGTTCAATGGAGGACATAGCGCAGCAATGTCCTTACATCAACGCATCCAGTTGCCATCCCGCAAAGTCGTCATCATAAGATATGTCTTCTCTAATCGATTGCCCTGAGCCTTCAGTGAAAACAAGCATGGATTCCACGGACAGTTCTGTTGCGACCGTGTTCGGACCAGGTCCCACGACCAGGTTCACCCAGTCGGTTCACGGTCCTCGTCACTGCGGCGGTCGCCGAAGGAGGCATCGGGAGACAAGAGTTTGCATGAAGTTCAGATCACGTATTTCCCCTGTCAAGGTGTTGATCTTCATCGAATTGGCTCTGGTGGCCAACCTTTTGGCTTCTCAACAGGGCTTTCAGATGTGGAACACTGGACGCCGTCACACGCCATCTTCGAACGGCTCGGCTCAGCTGGCTGTGTGACGGACGACGGAAGTCGTCCCCGCCGCAGACGAATCCAGGCGCTGCGGACGATGGGCGAACCAATTTAAATTCGAATTTTGTTACTAGTAGTAAGGCACTTGTTACTACTAGTATGGCACTTGTTACTACTAGCGTGGCACTTGTTACTAGCTTCCTACTACAAACTTGGTTCGAATTGGTTCGCTTTGGCCTCTAATTTGTTCAAGGATGCGTCCCGAAGGTTGAATGTGGGTGTGAAATGAGAGCATGAATTTTATAAAAAGACACCTGCGTCATTGTTTGAGTCAGGAAGTTTCAAAGAACACATTTTTTCAGTGAATGTTTCCTAGGATAAACTAGAAGGCCGGGTTTGTGTGAGTCTTCCCTGCAGCTCCTGATACCTCTGACAGCATCAGCAGCTGAGTGGAAGGGTTTCAGCATGTTTCAGGTGCCTCAAAGCACGGCAAGACGCTACTGAACCAGCTCAGATTCACCAGCTGGATGATGTTTTGACTCGAATTCATTATAAACATGATCCATTCATGTAAGTAACTCTTCTAGTTACCCGGATGTCACTGGTTTCGATGCCACCTCCTTTGGCCCTTTTTTGGCCGAGGCACCATGACCATGCCGCCAGGCGCCGTTTCGACCCGGTGGCACGGCATTGGTTGAACATGCCCTATAGGTATCTGTAGGGAAAAAGGGATTGGAACCTTGGAAAGCCATGGTTTTTCACTCCTTGGGCACTATGGGCACAGAATTGGTTTCCTGTCAATGTTTCCCTGAAAGCAATTCTGAGCGACTAGGCGGGCTGCCTGTTCCACATCCGAAAAGGTTCAGTGGTTGATGTGGGTGCCAGGCGGGTCAGTCCCTGCCTTCTTTTTGGGACAGGAGCCCCTAGGGCTCAAGATGGTAAGGGTTTATTGCTCCTGCGAAGAACGATGTAGGGTCAACATGGACCAACAGGTATAAAACATGAAACCAAAACTGAGCAGAACTGTTTTTGTGTCGTCAATCAGTTGGTTCCGTGCCTCAGAGAAGAGGACATACATATGAATGATGTTCCGTTGAACGGTTGAGTTGAAGACACAATAACGTCGGGGTGGCCCTCCTGAATTTGATATATTATAACATACCAAACGTTGGTGTTGTCCAACGCAATCAAAATGACAAATGCACCAGTCTTATCACAGCCATGGATCTTCCCTTCCCAAAGGACCGGCCTTGCCAGATGAACGACTCTTTTGGGATCCCCCCAAAAACCTGGTTTTGCTAAATGTTAAGATAATGATATTGTTTATTTATTTTCCCTATGTGTGAATCATTCCCCTTCTTATTATGTGTGCTTTTCCGGGTTCGTTATATAAGCAAATCTCCCTCCCAAAAAAGAGGACACGACACTGCCTCGCGCCTCACCCCTCGTGACGCACCCCCCGCTTCAGGCCGCCGACGCGGGCTCGTGGCATCGCCGGGGGCTCGTGGCTGGCGCGGTCGGTTGGGGAGCGCTCGGGGGCATGGTTCCACTGGAGGGAGTTTTGAAGCGCGACGCAATGACCAGATCCGAAAGGAGGACTAATTGGGTTGGGAAGACTGGGGGGTTTGGTCCCTACCTTCTTGAAGGGAGAAGCCATGCCTGGGCCCCCCCCGGGCAGTCTGTGGGGATTGGAGACCCCGAAAGATGAAGCTGATGAATCAACGGTGATGATATAACCCTTCTGTTCCAAGGATTTCAAGTTTCAACCTGATCCTCAGGTTGCTGGACACCCAGTCATCACCCAGTCGTAGCCTGAAACCTGTTTTCTTTGATGAACATTGGATATGTTGTTTTTCACCTACAACTCTACCACCATGTGGGTGTGCGTTGAAATTGGAAGGACCTCCCCTTCTTCGGGTTGGTAGTCCAACAGTCTATGCAGTCTATGGCATTTCTGCTTTCTTTTGTTCTTGAAAATTGCCAAGTCAATTGGTGCAGATACACCCATACAATCCAATAGTCCAATGCATCATAGTACACCAACATCATTTGAGTTCACCCATAGAAACATATAGAAACATCAACACACCCCACAAACCAACACCAAATGATTGATGGTGACGTTGTGACCACTTCGTTTGGGGTGTAAATAACTCACCAACACGTCGAAACATCGACGAGGGGTCCGGCGCGACCCGGGCTCGTCGTAGAGTGTACAGTATTGGTTGTGAATGTAAGATGATGTAAGCCAACACAGCCAACCACAGAAAGTATTGATGTTAATTATAATATTAGTATATATTGTAGTGTTTGCATTGTAGATTGTATCTAAATATTGTTGCAACCGATGTGTAAACAAACTGAGCCTGAATGCGTATGAATGCTAAACACAGCTTTTTCTTCGTGATTGTTGAATGAGCAGATCCCCAAAGCCTGCAGTGGGAGTTCCAGCTCGTTTGCGGGGGGTGCTGGTGCTTTGCGGTATGGGCTGGCGCCGTCGGGCTGGATGGGCTGGCGCGTCGGGCAGTTGGGGTCGCCCGCTCTGAGGTGTTTGTCCCTGATGGCCCGGTGCCTGGTCGCGAAGCGCACCGGTTGAGGAGCTCGGGTTTGGAGGAACCGCATTTGCTTAAGCCTGTTGGAGCCTGGACACGGGCATCGAAAAGCGCCTTGAAAACCAAACATGAGCAGATGAGCAGAGCCAACAAACATGTTGTTAGTATAGCCGGCTTAGCATGTGTTGGCATAGAGAAACCTTGCCATGGCTCCTAAAGTGAAGTGCCCCGTGTTCGGTCACAACGGTCTTCGATCCGAAGGGTTCGGTCCGTTCAGGTCGCTTGGGGTCTCGTCGCGCAGTGGACGGCCTTTCTGGAAGTGCCCCAACAGCAGGCGGCGCGGCACGCCGCGGGGAACGCGGACCTAGTCGGAGAAGGGGTGTCCCCAAGAGAGGTGTCTAGGACCTAGGAGTCTTCCCAATGAGCGATGTAGGAGAAGAACATCTACCTGTAGGGTGGAAACGTGGATTATGTGGCAAGCCTACCCCAATCCCTCGCTTCCATGATAAGCCATGCCAGTCTTCCCGCAGGGTGCTTGATCCCTACACGTCAGGAACTGGCATCATTTTATTGAAGTTGATCATACCAAAACACGAGGATATATATATATATATATATCCACCTCCCAAATGCCCACTGACTTTGCCATTTGCACAGCAATTTTTTTGTTGGCATCCAGGTAAAAGCACCAATCAAGAAAAAGACGCCGATGTGACTGTGAAGAGGTCTCTTTGCTGTGGCCTTATTAAAACCCAGTCAACGGTTCAAGCAACAACACATGATGTTGATTTATGTATCGAACATGGGGTCTGGGCATCGCCGGGGTGTTGCTTTTTTGGGGCGATGTTGATTTTCCCTAAACCCTAAACCATTGGTAGGGCATCGCCGGCATCCCAGTGCATGTTTACATGGAGTTTGGTTTCTAAGTTGTTGGAGCAGGGGTCACCACTGCGTTGCGCGGAAACATCATGCGAGCCCGACACCGAGGGCAACTGTTTGGAACGTGTTTTCATCCAACAAACCACTCGTTCGCGAGGGTAAAACATATAGAACGAACCACCCTGGTTTTTGTCGAAAACCTGACATCTCCTGGCATCGGGACAAAGAATTGTCAGACCCGCGAGACAAACAACACGACTGGCACCATCTATCACCATCCCCAGGTTTACTCTGAAACCACTGTATAGGTCTTTAGGTGCTTTTTCCCACCCCTCCCTGGCCATTTTGGTGCCTTGCTCCAGGAACTTCAGCGCCGGCAGATCTTGGCCATCAGCGCTGGAGCAGCAGCGCAGGTGCGGCGGAGATCGGCCGAGATTGTGGGGAGACGAGCCAGCGAGCACCGTAGGGGAGAATGAGATGCATGGGCTGCATGGACGATGGAGCTGTGATGTTTGGGAGAAATAGATCACTCAACAAGCACTGAATGGTCTGATCTTTTTGTATATGTTGTTTTCGGGTCGGTGGCTCGGTGGGTCGGTCGGTGGGTTGGTTGGTTGGTTGATTGGTTGGTTGGTTAGTTAGTTGGTTAGTTGGTTGTAAACAAACATAACTTAACTATAATTTTGTAGCAGGTGTTACCACTTTTGAGTTGATGCAGCTTCTCCAGGGTACATTTCCCACGCAACCCCAGGCCTTGTGAGACACCCTCCGTTCAAATGGCGCTCAACCGTGCTTCCGATATTTTCTCAACTCAGTGTGTGCCATTTCAGGTGCCAAGTCGTTTGTGAGAAAAAGACGTTTGGTCAAAGCGCCATACAAGCTTTCTAGAGGCCAGGGATGGTCAGGGGCCATGTATCCGCTTCCATGCCCCGTGGAAAACTAACATGAACCCTGAAAACCATTGCCTTGTAGAGGAAAACACATTTAGGCTCCCATTCTCAGGGTCCATGTTAGTTTTCGGGAGTGTATTTACTGTATTCGTTGGAGAGATTGCACTGATTAAGGCAGTGAGGTCTACAATCGTCTCATTCCGGTGGGTCGCCCAACAGCAATATGCACGGTGTCCAATCCCCAACATGTGCCTCTCAGGATGGTGTCCAAGGCCTTTTTAGGGAGGTGCGTGATGGTGAGTGGTTCGATTTGGCACAATGCACCTCCATGTATGACATAGTTGCCTACTTTGGGCTGGTTCTAGGGGTCAGTGTGGGTATATATGCCATACATGAGTGGTTTGGGATAGGTCGAATCCTTTTCCACGAACATGATGAATCAAACACAATCAGTTCACAAACATCTTTGGTTGACAGGCATGATCACTGAAATTAGCGCCACAGGATCACTGCAAAGACTTGAACATCAACCAGTATAGTTCCATGTGGGGGGTGGCATGTCTATTCTTCATTATGTGTGTTGGTTTTAACTAGTTGTTTTTTTTTTTTTTAACTAGTTGTTTTGTTTTAACTATTTGTTTTATCTCGTCGTTGTTTTGTTTTGGGTTTTAGGGGGGGTATGTCCAGTCTTTGTTGCTTTTGTCTCCTGTATCGACACTAAGGCCCTGCCCACGCCCGCGGCTTTGGCGGGCGACCGAGATCGCCTGTGGGGCGGCCGAGAATCCGAAGGGAAGACCTGGGTTTAGCTGGACCTGACGTTGAAGAGCTGCAGAGCTGAAGAGGATGTGGATGGACGATGTGAACTGATTTATATATATATATACATACAGATATCTATTTACGTACTGTATATATAATGTACAGTATATCAATATACAAGGAAGATGTACATGTATAGATATGTCAGATGAGTAAATACTGGTTTTGTGCCAAAGAGGTGGCATGTTTCACATCGAAGCTGCACCGGTTGGTCATTGTTTCATGAATGTTGGAAGCCAAGTACCATCGCCTTGAGCTGAATGACTTGGACTTTGCCGAGTCGAAGCTAGGTCCAACTGCAACCACTTGGACTTGGCATGCATTATGCATCAGTCGTTGTGAGTAACTCCAAGCAGAGACCTTACGCCATTGAAATTCAATCCCAGACACTCCATGCATTGTATATTGACCCATCAGTTGGTGGCATACATTCCAGTCCCGTTGAGTGTTTGGGATATCCCCTTGAACAAAGTTTGGGGATCCATCCGAACCGGTTTTGCGCATTTGCCGTTGAGTGATGGCAGCATGTTGGAAGAACATCTACCTGATCTCCTTTTGATGTTTAGCATGTTCCCTCACACCCTCGATGGTGATATGAGTTTGTTTGATTCCAGCTGCTCCACACCTGACCAATGCCTAAAACAATTTGGTTGAATAGTGCTTCAAACACTCTGCAAGAGATGAAAGAATCGCGACCCTGAAACTGGTGTTAAGGTCCTGGTAGCATCAAGTGTTTCGGGGGCACCAAGCAGCCAGTTTTGTTGTCCTTCATGTGCTAAACAGTCCATGGCCCATGGGGATAATTTGGAATCGGAAAAGGAGCAAGTAGCGTCCTTGCTACCAGTAGTAATGGCCTCCAACCTAATAGCGATGGCCTCCATCCTAGTAGCGTCCTTGCTACTAATATTCCTTTTGGAAAGTAGCGAAGTCCTGTGTTTTTGGCCGCTTCCATCCTCGGTGCATCCCCCACTGTTACTAGGAACAAAGGGCATCGCTACCATGACCAAGGACGCGACTAGGGGCACTCCTGGCATCGCCACTAGTCACAAGAAGCTATTAATTGTTTTTGTGGCGCAGGTCCATGGTCCTGGCTGTGAGGATCTCCGCGGAAGCGCTGTGGGCGATGGGGCAATGCTGGTCACCCCAGTACGATTCTGTCAGCCTTCAGCGGGCATTTTGGGGTGCTGTAGCAAGTAAGTTGGCATAGCAACATGTACCAAGAATGGTTTCCCTGGCAAAAACAAAAACGGTACTTAGGTCACACTTCAATATGTAGCTTGCAGTTTACAGTTAGCATAGAGCCCCAAATAAACCAAACTTGATGTACCTACAGAGTGGCCACATCCATGTTGCATGTCATTGTTCGCACTAACTAGTAGGCATTTCCCAATACATGCCCAACTCCAGCATTGAAGAGTATCTGCAAGGTATTTGGCTGCCATCAATACCATCAACTTGTTTGTCTTTCTCACTTCAGACAAAAGTCTAGCAGAGCCTTGTTCAACAATAGTATTTGGTGACCTAATTAATCGTGTTCAGCCCTATAATATTGATATATTTTGCTACAACATTCATGAAAGATACGATGGATTGACTGTTTGTTGAAATATATCAGCAATGCTTCGAAAGATGGATCGTCCCGCTGGGCATTCCATTGGAATGGAGACAGCAGCAAAGTACCTGCAAAGTTGGAGCTTCTTGCCGCTTGCGATCAGGAACATCAATGATTCTTTTTCAGGATCTCTAAATGACCAAGGATTGGTCATACTGAAACCCAAGAGAAACTGTCTCAACTCACCCATGTATGCTATGATTGGTTAGTGACCCAGATCTTAAACAAACAAATCGGACAGGAGGAAGTTCTTGCCCAAGATCTTGAAGACCTACAAGGAGTTGCAGGCCTTCCTGATCTCTGTCGGCCTTGATCGTTTAGAGTCAGCCGGGCGTGAGCTGACTGGTGCCCCAAGCAACAGCCCAGTGGGAGCACGTCGCGTCGATCGGAGGTCGTTTCGGAGATCGGCGTGGTGTCGAGTAGTGTCGAGTGATCTCGGATTGAGGGTATTCCGTGAGGAGGTGGTTTAAGACCTTTTGTGGATGTGGTTGTGTGCTTGAAGAAGTTGGGCCCAGTTCCACCCCGGTGGGAGCAGCAATCATCAACGAAGAAGCCATTGGCAGCCATTGTTTAGGGTTTAGGGTCTCCATTAAGAATCATTGAAGTACATTAGAAACATTTGGTTCAAAGACTGCTGCAATTTGAGGACCCACATGGTTTGAGTATGTTTGAGTCACTTTAGTATATCAATGTCTTGCACATATTTGTCCAAGGCTTTAGGTGTTAGATTGTGTTCGTTGTTCCAAGGCTACAAGGTGTCTTATTCATTAAAAAAAAACAATTCGCTTGAAACACCCATAGCCATGTCAGCGATGGGGTGAATACCTCAGTATATAATGATCGTCCCTGGAGGTGGCGATGTTGTTCCGGGTTCAAGGCTGAGGACCTGAAACTCATGGGTTTCTTCGGCCAAAGTTCTTGCAGATTTGTTGGACGTGACCGATTAAGACCTCGCAAGACGCAAGACATGTGTCTATTCCACAAAGGGGTTTGCTCTCGGTGTGGACTTGTGTGTGTGACAAGGGAAGGAGCGTTGAGGTTGTGCATTCATGGAAATTCGGTGGTATAGACACCTTCTAACCTAGGATGCTGCAGGGGTACTGAATCTTTGGGCAAGCTGGCTGTGGAAAGGTCCTTGCAAACCTTGCCTTTCCAGTTCGCTTTTGAGACCTTGTAACTAGCAGACACAGCATTTTTACTGTACCCTTTTTTACCCGCAACATCTTATAATACACCTTGCCGCATACGGGTGGCAGGCAGCGGGCAGCATCACAGATGACTTCTTGGAGGAGAAGAAGTTGAAGAAGACTGGAGACCCAGTTCGGGGCATGGGACCCTCAGTACCAAAAAAACACAAAACATGAATGAAACCGCAAAAAAGACACACCAAACAGGTTCCACACCGTGTGAGCCGACAGACCTCTTAGCCGACAGCGGTGTCGGCGGGGGTCGACCGAGGTTTATCACTGCACTGATGAGCTACGGCAGCATTCAACGCATGGAGGAGGCGTGATGAGATGCGGATGGAGGGGTGAGGAGATGGGGATGGAGGTTGGGCTGGTGGATGTGGATGGCATGGATGGATGTGTCTCATGCCCTTTTCTTAATCCACTGGCAGTGCCAGTCTGGCACCCTCAGGATCGAAGGTGATTGGAGACACAATTCTGCCATGGGCATGGAGCAGAGGGTCCAGTCGTACCTTCTGAGAAGGAGGGAGTAGATCCCTATAGGGATGGTATTTCATGGTGTTTCCAGAGGCGGGGGGGCGGGATCTAGTTCACTTGAAGGTAATTTACTGTGTGGTCGACTGGCTTTTTCAAAAGATTAGACGTCACATATGCGCACGACATTCCACATGTTGAAGCTCAAGCCTAAATGTTTTTTGCCACACCTAACCCTGTGTATCCAGTCACCACTAGTCACTAGTTCGTGTGTACCCGGTGCCCAAGAAAAAGCCGGTGACCCACTCGAGTAGGGGAGAGGTATCAAAAAAGTAAAATAATAAGCATCAAGAAAAAAAATGATAGGCATCAAGAAAAAAAATAAGCATAAAAAAAAATGTTTGGTAACCGGTCCTCTAGTCCTTTCATCCTCTCTCTGGACCCTTGGTCCTCTGGTCCCTTGGTCCGCCGGTCCTTTGGTCCTCTGGTCCCTTGGTCCTCTGGTCCTTTGCTCGCTGGTCCTTTGGTCCTCTGGTCCC